AAAAAACAAAAAAAAAAAAAAACAAAAAACAAAAAACAAACAAAAAAAATCGCGGTTTAAAATTATGATTTATTAAAATTCTAATCCAAAAAAGATTCAAAAATCTACGCTCTAAAAAAGTGTGATATGAGTTATTGAACGGCGCATCTCTTTGAATTAGCCATTCCGAGGGTGAGGGAAAAACTTGGTCGAGTTGATCTTGCAGTGCATTTTGGGAATGGGAATATATTTCCAAAATGGCGTCTGGTTTGTCCCCTACAACAGCTGACTCGTCCCCAGTCGTCTCTTATTGCAAGAATTTGCGTGCGTAAAAGAGAGACGACTGGGGACGAGTCAACTACAACAGTCCCACAATGCACTGCAATACGAACTCCACCCATGTTCGTTTCTTTATTTTTTCTTTGTTATTGTTTGCTTTTTGTTGTTGTTTTTTTGTTTTGTTTACTTTTTGTTTTGTTTGTCGTTTGTTTTTTTAACTGTTTCTTTATACATGTATCTTGTTTTTTGTCAGTGTTATTGTTGTTTCTAAGCTGCAAGTTTTCTCGTGGTTAACTGCGCCATTTTCGATTTTATTCTTCATATTGATTACCTGGCATTTCGTTGCAAGTATGTTGACAGGCAGCACAGATACATTGATTGGGCTGCCTGTGGTGCTTCAGATTTTCTGACAATGCCTCTATAATTAATTGTTTGAAATTCTCATTCCGTGAATCGGAAATGACCAATATTTTTGATGTTTTACTGGCGGATTTATGAGGCATACCACGTAAAACTTTCAAATGGACATTCGTATTGAAAGCAGGGTAAACTCAAAGAAGATTCATTATATGTGGCTGTGATTTACAGGAAAAGAGAGATCATAGAATGGATTACTTCAACGAAACGCGGGCGGACATTTTGAATCGCAAGGCATTATGGATCGACCAGGGGGTAACACAAAACAAAGACGGCGAATATATAATGTATAATGTAGAGTTTCGTTGTTTGACTTTCTTTCAAAGTGCTGATCGATGTGTCGTCTTTGGGTGTAATGATGACACGCGGTACATCAAGCCCCACATTTCTCCCTGGACGCCCCTCATGCATAATTGCAATCCAAGATGGCCGCCGCCATTATTATCGAACGGTGGTTCGGGATTTTTAAGCGTATCTTAAACTGAATTTTAAACATTAGTGCATTAATTGTTGTTTTTCAACCATTCCCAAGAGAATTAAATAACCGAAAGACACGGCGGCCATGTTGGAGGATATAACAAAAGAATTCATTGACAATTTTTTTGTTAAGTTCCTCCAACATGGCCGCCGTGAAAACCATCAATAGAACTGTTAAATCAAAAATAACAATGGTGAAATGAGTGGATTTTCTTCCACTGTTTCTACTCCCATACGACACCGAGTCTGGGAATCCAACTCGGATCGCATTGGTTAGAAGCATTAGCGCTATTTACTTAGTGTACATACTATATCCGTAAATAAGTTAAGTAACAATACTGTACAAATTAGCGCAAAGTTTTGCTTAAGTAATGAATGAAGCATTATACATTGTGAAATACTAATGCGTACTAATAACACGAGCCCAAACTCTATACCGTTTAATACTGAACTTACTAATATGCCATTAATTCTTACAAAGTTTATCGCTGATAGAGTGCATACTAGTATGGCCGTGAAAAACTTAGTATGAAATTGCACACATTTGCACAAAGTAAGTTCAGTTACCCATAGATCTACAAAACGTCGCACTGATTTTTAATTTTGTAAGTTAACTTTTTGATGGATATATGGTATGCAATCTACCGCTAAGCCACACGTCCTTCCCAAAACCAATACAGCATAATTATTGATGCTCTATCTTTTGCAAAAACTGAATACCGCTAAATCCGAACATCCTTTCCACGATCGCACGACATCTAGTATTTGCGCAACGCGGTGCGTGAAAGATCGATATCACTTTGCAAACGTCCAGTTCCTTGCAAAGTCGACCGCCATATTACATGATGAACAGATGGAAAGATTGGACTAAGTAGATTAACATAGCAGAAGTTAGAATAACAAAGTCGCCTCCATCCAGGCGACAGACTTCAAAATGCAACCAGAGTGAAGGCATTTAACCCGTGAAATAAAAATTATTAGTCAATGTGTAATAGTCAAATAGACACAAAAGAAAACAATGGAATTAGGGTCTACTAAAGTTTATTAGTCTAATATCTATTCGGGTTTAATGACTTCGTACCATTTAGTGAAAAACAAACTAGTACGGCAGTAAAAATCTGGCTGTTCCTGCATGCTCATTTCGAATCAGACCGGTTCCTGACCCGAACCATCAGGGATGCATGTGATGATGGATATCAGAAATCTTCGTATTAGATCATTTTAAAACGCCTAAACTGGACCCGCCCTACATAATTATCATCTGAATAGCGTTCTCCTATTTGACCTCTACACATTAAATTCAAAACTAGAGCGCATTGTTTCGGGGCGGATATGATATCACCAGGGAAGGGCTTGTTGTTCACTAGCGTGTAAGGGTTCAATGCTCGCGGCTATAAAGTTGTACATCATCATATCTCTCTCACGGTTTAATTTAAAAGCAACCGAATCCGGATCCGAAAATCATTATCGTGGTAGGTTGTCAATAGTACGTCCCTGAAGCTATAGACTAGCTTTGAAATTATCGTGAATAAATGTAGGAAGATGGAGAAAATGGCACGACTTTCTTGCATGCTCATACTTGGATGTCTAGTTGTGTTTTCGGAATTTTAGCACCGTTATCCAATAAATTATCTAAGATAAGCGAGTAAACTTCTAGCTTTATCTTTTTCTTTGTTTCGCTAGCAAACTATAAGCAAAACGTGATCCGGTTTTTTTAGTTTTATAGTGACGCTTTTTTTTGCACGTTCATTGCTAAACTCATGAATTTTTTCATCAGCTCACATAGAACTGTTCCTCACCATCTCTTTTCTAGTCATCTTTTGACAAGGGAATTACGTGCAAAAACTGGCTCGTGAAATCCTGGAAGCTATAGGGCATTTTCCTTGTAATAATTCAATACTTATAAAATTCCAATTTTCACCGTTGTCTCGTTTTTAGCAAAATGGGAATAAATCTCGGAATAAACCAGTGTTCACAGAAGTCACTTGCGAGCCATTCTTGATGATAATACACCGAGCACGCGCAAATTGTCATCCACATACAGTTTTGATCTCAAATTTGCCTTCAATTATTTGGTCAGTAAAGCGTTTATCCTTGATAATGCTTAAACAAAGATATGAGGATTTTCGGGTATTAACATAGCTCGGACTAGTTTTTTCTGTTTCCAAATTACTCAAAAGGAAATGGTCTTCATATTTTGACATCTTCGGAAGACATTCTAGCAAACCTTCTCTATGAAAACCACAATTTTTAGATATTTTAAAAGCGCTTAATTTTAAACATTAGTGTTTAAGCCATATCTTGGTGTCATTTGGAAGCTTTTACGATTAAATCAAATGAAAGTTAAAAACGATTTTTAGCTTAAAAGTCTGGCATTTTTTACTGATCCAATAATCCGGCTTTCAAAGGTGCCCGGCATGTTGCGGATAGCCGATTGCGAAATGAAAGGCAGTCTGCCTAAAATGTCCACTGAAGATGAAGTTCAAATTAAAAATCCCAAGATAAAAATCAAATAAAATAGAAAAACGACATAAGAATTGTAGTGTCACAATCAGGTTGAGCTACGGATAAATCTATTTTGAGAGCAAGGATAGAAAAACACGTAATTTTTGCGAGTTTTGAAGCAGTTATTTTATGCCCGCGAGGTGATGGCGGTGTACCGAGACTTCTCCAAAGCACATCGCGAAACTTGATGAAAAAATAATGATTTATAAATGCCTTAACCTTAATCTTAATCAGCACTCACTAAACGGTAACGTCTCTTTACGTAATATATATATATATAAAAGAAAAAGAAATATGAATGAGTCTCATTCTTCAAATACGTGACAGCTCGACATTTTCGATTCCCGGAAGCGATTTCAAATCTGTCACGATTTTTTTTTCTGATTTGATGTACTTCCCAATTATCACTTTGCCTCAGTTTATGATAAAGTCTTTTCCTCGCAAATTGTCATATTCAAGTTCCGAAAAATATAAAACGCACGCGTTTTTGCTTTTGAATAATATAATTTTGAGGGATATTTTGAACGTCATATAAAACTCTGAGGAGGTCCAGTTTTACAGCCTCACACCTTCCCACTCTTCTGCACTTGAATAACTACTCTCTCGTCATGAAACAGGTATTTTCCTACACTTCAATTCTGTTATCTTTACCCTTTAAAAAAATGTGTGAAGTTACTTGGTTGGGCTTTATCTTTAGCCATTAAATATTAAAATCACTCGTTTAATTTGAAACAAATTTTTTATCCTTTTAATTTTGAAAAATCAGTCTCTCCTGATCCGATAAAAGTGAACTTAATCTACGAGGATTACAGGTCGTATATTTGATGAGTAATTACTATAAAACGCTAACCATTTACATATTTGAGGTTATTTCTTGGCTTTATAAAAAAATGCATACTTTTCCCAGGGGAAAGTTTTCTTTTCTGAAAAGCTACTGAAGTCGTTAACTGTTGAGCCTTTTTTACGCAAAACAATCAGATACTGAGGCCATAAATATTGCTTCTGTGTGGACTCGAAAGTGGTTGAAGTCTTAAGACGATTTCTAATGAAGATAGGAGGAGTTTTTGGCGTGAAATTTTAAGCTTGAAAAGTAAATATTTGAAAAGAAGAAGGTGAAAATGAGAAAATCGGTCAAGAAAAGCCATTTCAAGGGCCCGTGGGAGGACAATATCTCGCTGTGATTGGCTGAATGTCGTTGATTGACATGTGACGTCGGGGCCATAACATACATCTTTGCTGCTTTCAGGCATTTGATTTATGAAGCGTTGGACAACTACAAAGTATGGAAGGGATTTAGAGGACGTTTTTACTCACTTTAACCGTAATTTAAGCCTCAATTCTTGGCAAGTAAAGAGACGAAGGATGTCGTATACTTTTAGCAAGCTGGTGGTGTGTATAATTTTCGGAGGGACACTTTTATTGGTCTCAAAAGGTAAGCGTTTTTCTCTGCTTGAAAATCTGCCAAAGTTAACCTCAGAATGGTATCAAATGATCGCGTAAAGGATTTCAAGCTTTGCTTCAAATATCTTTNTTAATTTGAAGGGCTTTATAACTTATGTTTAATAGCGTAAGACGTGTTTTGAGTTTGTTAATAATCGGAATCATTAACAACATGGATTGAGGTTGTTTTGGTTAAAACTTGGAGGAAGATTTCGAACGTTTTCAAAGCCTTGAAAGTCAACTTTTACTATAAAGAATGTGGCTTTATTATAACCGCATTATAATTTAGTAAGATTTAAAACTTTTAGCCTTGATTTAGTTAAAGAAAGACACTTCTTAATGCTTTTATTCATTAGCAAAAGGTGACAAAATTGTCGTACGGTCCTTTCTTTGACGGGCTTTGGTTGGATTCATTTCATAAATAACATTGCTTCCCAGACCGAAATTATTTAACTTCTTGTTTTGAAATATCCTATATTCTTGTTTTTCGTTGGGATGAAGTGGTTTTCTTTTATTCCTCGTTTGTATTATTTATTTACTTACTTCTGATGCAATCGGAAGGTGTTTGAACGTGGGGTCCTTTTTGATGTTCATTGACTACAACCAGTGTTTACACTATTCAATGCCAGCGACTCGTGACTCTAACACAATCAGAAAACTAATCCTCAAATGCTTCAACTTTATCTGTTGCTCGATTACGACCTAATCTTCACGGTAGCGGCTTTACCCCGGGCCAATAAGCCGAATATTAATACTACAGACGCTATATTTATTCATATTCGGGGTTTCCAAAATTTAGCGTTTGTTTTTTCGCACGTTCGGGACTCGTGGAACCTACGAACTTCCCATTACTACGAGATATCGAACCTTAATCAGATATTGATTTCACTTGATTTAAGTGCAGAAAGGGTGTCGAAAGAGAGCTTTTTTGAGCCCAAAACTCAGCTGATTTTTTGTACTACTCATCAGCTTCCTCTACGTATATGCGTTGAGAAAATCGACAGCAATTTGTTAGTAAGAAATCATTTGCGTAACTCAATTGTAAGACCATGATTTAAAGGCATTAATCAATACTGTATTCATTTCCAAAATTCCTGTCAATGGTTTAGTAGTAAGCCAGTTTTATATTTCACCGGCGAGGTATACATAACGCCGTATGTAAAGCTACTAATAACCTCGTAATATAACAATAATAATAATGACCACGTCAATATTGAAAAATAAGTCTATGAACCAATATACCAAGAACTTACTAATAATATAACATTGTTTTTTGTTAATTTTTTACTAGCAAAAAAAGTATTACCTTTATTCGTTTTGTTTTTCAAGTTACTACCGTTAATAAACAAGTAATATGCTCGGCTGAATTCTCAGTAGCCCTGAGGCAATTTCCAAGTCTATCTTCCTACATTAACTCAATAGCTTTATTTTTTATCTTTTGCATCGTTATTTTTTCGCCATTAATTATTTCCTAAGTACTGTGTTTTTATGAAAAAAGCTTTTCCCCTAGAGCTGCTTTGATCTTTGTATTATTATTGCTAGAAATCCATCCCGTCGTCTTAACGACGTCCCTCATAATTTATTTATTTTCTAAACATTTGAGACTAAATGCACTAAAATATATGTATCGTATTTTATCCTTTGCTTCATAACTCCGTCCAACCTGTTGAAAGATGAAAAATATATTCCGGAAAAAAGAAATTGTATGTTCCTTTATTACACCACTTACAAAAGAACCCTTTATTATTTCTATTATTAGTACTGTTATAATTTTATTATTTACTACACAGCCAGCATTTAATTATATTTTCATCCATTGTACAAATTTAAACAGCGTATGGTTTATATCTTTTGATTCAATCATGCAAATAGCTGGGTCTCTGCTGGTAGTAAAACTTTAGCTCAAAAGCATCACAAGCTTCCTTCCTGTTTCTAGATTATTTGATTTTTAAACCTTGAAGTATTGTGTTCGTTATTCATAGAGTCGTTCATGCGTGAATCTATTTAGAACTTTCTTTTTCATAATCTGTGAAGCATAACTTAAATTGACTTCAATACTTCATAAGAARTAATTTCCAGGGCTTAAAATAATGGCTGATGGTCATCAGACAATAGCTGCAGTTCCGTTTGGAGTTTACATGGTTGTAACTTTGATTGAAATTCCATAGTGTTTACACTAGTGTTTCACTAARTTCACTGAGAGTTGTGTTATTCACTACTGTTGATGTAACACCCTAGCTAGCTGTCATATTTCATTAGTTTTTTTAAGACAAACCAAGTAAAGCATGCCAGGCCATCTGGTGTAGTTTATGCTATGGTAAAATGCTTTGAAGTACGTAACCACATTACCAAGATAAAGATAATGCCTACAATGAAAGGTTCACTAAAAATTGAGAGTAAAAACCAGTAACCACACCTAAAATTTAACAACATTGAGTGTAACCGCAGCCAATGTTTGGCCAGGATTGAAGCTTGTCCAGTCACCCTTTGCTGGTCATCAGTAATATTGTGCCAGAAATTAAACGAGGTATGACAGAGCTAAAACTATTGTAGCGAGTCATCATCAGCATCCTTTATATCATATTATCTTTATACCCTTAATTATTTTTTATGTATTAGTCAAGACCCTGTCAGACATTGAATCTCTTACCTGAAACTTGTGTGCAACATGGTTACAGGGCAAGTTTCACACGGGCGTGAGACCAGGGCTCGAAATAGGAAAAAATTGCAGCTTGCCATAGTAAAGGAGCATGCTAAAAGGAGGTCATTCCTGTAAATTTTGCATGCCATTTTATTATTCATTTGGCAGTAGTGTATGGTTATTTCCACCTGCAAATCTTGAAATTTGGCCTKTCATTTGGCCATTTGCAGGCCACTATTTCAAACCCTGGACACAGAACACCTTTGTTTGGAAACTTGCTTGAGACACAAGTTTCAGGTGCTCTAGCAAATAGCAGATCTGGAACCTCCCATATCAAGGTCCTAGTGACAGGCCTGAATTGTTAGATGCCAAAATTTTCTTGCCCCCTTTTTTTTGTGCAATCTTATATTTTTATCTACTTTTAATTGGATTTTACATATACTATACTTCACGTTTTGCAATGGTGGTTGTCATTGTGGCTCTTCAAACCCATATAGAAATAAGGATATCAGTAGGCCATGTTTAATCTCACTTATATCTAATGGTGCCATATCTTTATCTTCCCTTTTATTTCTTTCATGTAACATATCTCACATATACATCTCTAAGACCACTCACTTTTGTTCTAATTTTTCCCCATTTTCATCCTCTAGCTAAAAAACTGTTAGCATCGAAATAAAATTCATAGTTAACTCTAATCCTTTTACTCCTCATGCCTCCTTTCCTTTTTCTTTTTTTCATGTAATGTTTGTTGCATATATATATAAGACCATGAACTGTTGTTTGCAAACTTAAATTTCAAAATTCTGACTTTGTATTGAGAGGATTTATCCAATTAATATAAAATTTACAATGAACTCTAATATATCTCGTTATTGTACATATCTCGCATACATCTATTTAAAAAATTGTTGAAGGGGCAAATGGCAAATGATGATCGGTGATTGGCGATTGCACAAAGGCACAGTGAGCATGCATCTAAACGCAAATAATCCAGGTGTTTTAAATGGTTTCATCGACTAAGTGAACGCTAAATATCTCAACAACCACATCTGTGTTATTGACAAGAAATAGAATAGTGATAAAGAAATACCAGTCAGTCCAGYTATCCTTGCATCTTGGGATGACCTATCTCCTATCACTTATCAGCTATAGCTTATTACCTATCATGGTTCAACCATTCAGCCTTTTTTGAAATAGCTGTATACATCTTTTAGACCACACACTGTTTTTCTAACTTTATTCCTAAATTTTCATCTTTGTATTAAAAAAAAAGCTGATATAATTGGAATATGTTTTTAAATGCTTTTATTTCCATATTTTTATCTCTTGCATATACATCTCTTATACCACACAYTATTGTTCTAACTTATTTTTTTATTGCCCTTTTTGTTTACAATAAATATATAGGTTGCTATCAATAGACGTCACTTCTGGTAATAGCTCTTTTTTGATGGCTTGTAGAATCCTGGAGGTTGTTTTGATCTCTTGTTTTCTGGTTTGATGTYGTGAAAATAGTCAAATACAATAGTTTGAGGACTTATTTTGATATGTTTTGACTTACTGTAGCATCTGCTAGTTGCCCCCCAGTCAACCACTTGTTTGCCCCCCAGTCAACTCCAAAAAGTCACATGATTGATAGTAAGCAATTTTCTACAGTTTTTAAGTCAATTCTTATTTTGATATTTTTTAACTCAACGAGGTTATATAAATGTCACAATTAACATTAATACTTTGTTTTGCTAAAATTATGCCTTCATTATTTAAGATGTCTCAAGTTCTTCATAGCGATTTATTATGCTCTGTCGACAAAACATGACCCCAGGGTATAGGGCTTTTTTTTTGATTATTCACAGTTTATTTGGGGAATGTCTTTAGCAAAATAGAAGATAATTTGTAAGTAATTACATTTTTATTCTCATCACCTGCATTCAACTTGACTGAAATTTTCTTCAATAAAATTTAATCATTTATAAATCTTGTTGATAATTTACCAGGCCTAATTATTTTATACTTAAATAACAAATTTATCCTTAATTAATATTTAATGTTGTCGTAAAATTTTTTATTTGGCCAAATTTTCTCATCCATTTTTCACGGGTAGAACTTGTTAACCAAGTGTAGTTAAATCAAATTTTGATTTTAAAATTTTATGTTCAAAGATCAATACACTGACATTGCAGTTGATCAAACACATCAGTTTTTACTATATTTTTACAATACAACGCAAAGTATGACCACATTTTATGCATTCGCAAAGTCCTATGCAGAGGCTTTAATATTCAAAATGACACATTTTGATGTGAAGCTGGCTGGTTTTACCAAACAAGGCGCACAAACGTTTGTTTGAC